AATATTCAATAATTTATATTTCTAAAACATACGTAGTGTTTTAGTCGGTGCCTCATGTTATTTGTACTTCCTTGTTGGTCGTACGGGTATCACTGCTTTTTTTGGTCAGGGGAAAATCATCAAATGATATTTCCCGCCTAGGGTGAAGCGAGGGAATGTCAGACTCTTACTGACTAAAAACCCCCGTTCCTTCTCCTGCTTTAGACCGAGGCCGTGGTGCCTCATTGCGCTTATCCCGCAACCCTGGCTGAACATCAGCCCTGTAGGGCCCGTCTGTGGTGGTCTATTGGCTCTTTGAGAATGCTACTCGTACGTTCGGGTCTGTTTCTGGTAGGGCGGCAAGCTAGCCTTACTCGTCGTCCGCAGATCCGCGCTTACGGTGACCGAAGATCATCTCTCGATGCCCCACGCCCGGAGTGTCACCTACTGCGGCGGCTGGGGCGTAAAGAAAGGAGGCGGTGTGCGTGAGGGAGCTACTCACGCACTCCGCCTTATTTGCGAGCATAACTGCTTCACAGAAAGAGGAGACGATTCCTCTCGCTCCACACCAAGGCCTCAACTAAGGCCGGGCACGAAAGGTCGCCGCCGACGGGCATTTAACGACACTCGGGCGTTTCCTCCCGATGGGTGTGATTGCTAAGTAAGGGATCTTGAATTGAATTACGGGTAGGGCAATCTCGTCATAGTTGTAAATTGTTTTTGAATATCTCAATAATGGCACAAAGATTAGATTTGTAGGTACTCTAGGCATAGGCATTGCAATCGAAGCTAGCTAGCTTCTTTTATATGGAACTCATAACATACCAGTGAAGACCGAAACTGCAACCAATTGGAAATAAAGTAGGTAGTGTAGTAGTTAGTAGTAGTACCTAGTAGTAACCTACCCATCATGATGTTTTTAGTTGAGTAAGTATATAAGTACCTGATTCTGCAAATAGTTATCTTATAATTCAATATCAAATATCTTTAAAATTTTGTTTGACGTTCAAAAGTGCCTGTATGGGTCTAATTGAAATAAATGATTTTGACTTTGACTTTGAGTTTCCAAATAAATGCTGAGTAGATTTATTGAAAATAGCGAATTACTCAGGTGAATTAACTGAGAAAAGCTCTCTCTACTAGTTTCAAGCCACAACGGGACTCTTATTCGTGAGCACCCCGCGATGTCGCCGTGAACGAGACGACCTAGGACCATCTATCCACTTTTATTAAAATACTGTTTCTATTTTGAAAGTATTGTCTGCCCTAAAATAGAAACCGATCGGAGTCCAAAATCTATAAATTAAAACCGATTTTTTACATAATTTGTTGTTCCGTTAATTTCCGTCAAAAACAGAGTTTGATCCGAATAATTCATATTTAGAATGTGTAGTAACTGGGGCTTTTGGTAATCACAGTTTTTAAAAACGTGTCAAAATATGTACCTAACATAGGTACTTAATTTCGTGATATCATAAGGTGTGTATGTATAACTATACTGCTGTTACTTACAGCAGGTACCAATGTAATAAACGAAATCACTTTCAATCGTATCATTTTCTCTATCTCAAATATCGAGTGAAACTCCACGCATTAGTAATGAGTATTACCACAAAGTAAGGTTTGGTGTGTACAGTTACAGTACACCCTAACGTACCTACGTCGGTACCTACAGATGGCCAGACGAAGGCGGATCGATACTATACGCGTCTAGGGGGCGGGCGCCCGTTCTTTGACCGAACAATTTGCACTGCAGTAGTACAATGTACATTATTGCAGCAATTCCATTGGGATTTTTAGCTGTTTTAAAATCTTTTGTTAGAGATGTAAGCTAAATTGGCTTTTTTATTTTTCCCGATTACGTTTTATGAAGAACTTTTGTAATAAAAAAAACAGTATTGGTTTTTTTTTCTATACATATTTCAACTTCTTACAAGTCGATGCTGATTTCTCTCCTTTCGTGTGACAGCAATGATGTGGATGAGCACGGATATCACCGCAACCACGATTATTTTCAAATGTTCCCTGTTAGGTACGTGTAGTCTAGCGATTTTCTAAGAAGAATGTAATCATATGAATAACACCATACATAGAGTTATGATGGTGTAAATAATATAAGAAACTGTCTAAATTAAACACACAAACTTAAGGGCATGAATTATTAATTAAAATCTGAATAAAGTTGTCAACTTTACGCTTTCGTACTTACTAGAGGAAAGTGAAAAAGTGGGCGAGTCGAATGAGGTAATATTAGTGCGTTAAACTAGCGCCGCTCACTGGTCGCACTCACTTTCGTTTGCTGAGATAACCTGTCTGACTACCACTTAGGGCTCAATACTAGCAGTACATTGGTATTCAACTGCATCTAAAATGATCGCAAATGTTAAAGATGTGGTCTTGGTTCTCATTAGAGACACCTGCAAAGTCCTGTTGGGTATTTGAATTACGAAATTCTCAAAAATATTAACAAAAATGTGTATGATGTAAAACTTACCATTATTTACATAAAGACGTAAAGATAAGGAGTATTAGGCAACAACCAGATGTGCAAGATACTTCTTCTATTAAAATAATAATCTCTCCTAGACCTAGGAAAAAATTTTGTATAGCAACCAACTTGCAACTGTTAAAAATCATAGCTAGAAACCGCAAACTAGCACAACTGCCTCCAATATAGAAATATGATGTAAGAGTTTAAATTTTAACATAGTATCAGCTGAATGAGCATGACCAATCAAAACCATGATATTATCAACTTTTAAGGTATGCTTGTAGGTTGCTAGATATTCATGACTTGGCATAAATATCTATTAATTGATGATTAATTGAAGCTACCAAACAAGATTGCCTAATACTTTGGATCTATAATTTGGGTAAAATTGGGGTTTTATAAAAAGCATAATTTTGATCCCAATGCTTTTTAATACATTTTCTGTAAACATTGATACAACATACCTTAGTAGAAGTGAGTAGAAACAAGTGAATTAACTATCTTTCCATCACCACAGTGACATAGAGCACATTTGATATTACAAAAAAGAACACCATTCCGAATATAGTAGTTAAATACATAAACCAAATTTTAAAACAATGAAAGATATTGGTCTTATACATAGGTATTTGGACAATATGCTCAACAGATGGCTATTACAATCTTGTAGTAAGAACGAAAAGTAGCAAATTAATTTAAAAATCTGCTGAAATTCTTATACATGCACATGTAGAAGACCAATATTTAGTAAAATGTCACACATGCATGCATACCAAAACCATAAAACACGTCAGAGAAAGTAAAATATTTTGTAGTAATGTCAAATGTCCAAAGCAATCACTGATGTTCCACCATGTTGCGTTGTCTCCCAATCGTGAGCTACCTGTAGAAACGAGCTTCTGATGTATAAATTACAAAAGCCCGGATCTACAGGGTAGATCACGAATGTGCCAAATCACCCGAAGATGTGTGAGAAGTAATGTACATTATGATGAATTACATGTGGATAAGTTAAAATACATTTGTTCCTGTAAAACATACATGCTAAAAATCGTACTTCAAAAATCGTTTAAATGTAGAACTCCAATCAAATAAATGTTTAGCTATAACAATTACACAACAATTTCAATGTTCTTTGTTGCTGAATAATTCATGGCATTGCGTTTATTGATCGGAGAACACGTAGTACTTTCAGATTACGAGTATATCCTCAAAATATTCTTAAAATACAGGAGTAAATTAGCAACTCACCTTACGACGTCGAATGATCACAGCTCCACAATAATCATTATCATTACTTTTACTTTTATACGTTAACGCGATCGCGATTTAGTAATAACACTTTTTCTACAGCCTAACACAACGATTAAAATTCCAATTAGTATAACAGCAACAAGAATAAAACTTGATTCGTATAAAATATTGATAAAATAGGATGCTTGTTCCAAATTGGAAGACACCACTTCGCTAATCACCGAATTAAATATTAACTCGTTGCCACAACAAGAAGTCATTACAAAATTATTAAAATAACAAATTGCACCAATAAAATAATTAAAACTATGCCTAAAGTATTGATCTACATAAAAATTAGACTATAATAATGAAATCGGCGTTCAAGCTAACACCTGACAATGACACAATAATAATTTTGACAACTTAGTGTTGCCATACCACATTATGTTCACGATGGTTCGATCCGCAAAATATTGATTACCGGGCTGGGTGTGGCTTGCACTTCTATCTGCAAAAGAGGAACTATATAAGTATACATGTCTCCACTTACCAGCTATGTATAATTATACCTCAGTCCTGCAAATACAGAGTACAGCCACGGTGAGGGGTGAGTATACACTAGCCAGAGCATTTTCATGCAATGTAATGTTTCCTATGAATACTAGATGCTCCGAGCGACGCACATGCGCTTCATTCCTGCACCGTAGAACGTCGTGAAGTTGTATTAGGGTGGCCTGAATGCAGCTAAGTTCAAGGCCATAGTGTATGCTCACCCTTTACGTTTTTGAAATGAGTAACCATGACGGATTTTACAACTACTGTACATACTAGTTATTTAAAAAAATATCAAATGAACAATATCAAAATATTGAAATACTAATTAACTTTCAAGCACGGGCCTTTGAATGGTCAGACTGGTTTGTTTTTTTTTTGTGCTAAATGAATTCGAGAAGTTTTAAAATAGGTATCCAACTATGACCAACATTTCTGAATAATGAGTATTATTGTGTCCCTTAATTTGCCTAATTCGTAAAGATACACAACAGTATGTTAATTTTACCACAAAGCGTTATTGCTGTAACTCTATTGCATTTTCGCCTTTGCACAATACTATGAAACTAATAAAAGCAACCTGATAAAAGCACTAAGTTACATTAGCGTAAAGCCAGCAGAAATTTATATTAATACATTTTCATTTCACTATAATTGTACCCAGCACCAAAGAAAAGATTGTATGTATCTGCTTAATAATAAAAAAGCAGTAGTCAATAATATTTTTATATTGACACAACTTAGTACAGTGCTGATTTAAATTCATTGGCATAATACAAACAATTGAACTTCTAAAAGTAAATGCAATTTTCACAATACAATACACACAACTAAAACTAAGAATTATAAATATCAGATTTTTTATCAGACAAACATACTAAAAAAATGATATATAAGGAGTACAGTAAACAAATTTATAAATTGTTTTATCTCACATTGAATGTTCCAGAACATATAACTATTTTTAGTTAAATCTTATAAGAATTAACTTTCTAAAGTGTCTAAAGCACAATGGAATATAATTATATTAAGGCTCATTTATAAGTCTCTGACATAAATCACATATTATCATCTATCATACATATATTATTACACTATCATTTTGTGATCTTTTCATTAATTAATCTTTAAAACTAACATTAAAAGTAATAAGTCATAAAGAACACAAGTCAAAGGTAAACTAAGTAAATGGTTTTAAAAATAAAAAATGCTGTTAATCTTATAATATTCTTCTTTGAGGCACTATTTGTATAGGGGAGGTAGTAATTGGTTTCTTAGGGCTAAGCTTGTTAGGTGATCTCATCACCACATCAACTGCTTTCCTCAATATTTGGTGCTCACTCTTCTTATATTCTTCTGTTATTTGAGACAGATCCAAGTCAGCATCTAACACTAAAACCTGAAACAACATTATATTATTAACATTGTGTCATGTAACTAATTTAAATTGTGTTACAAAGAACATTCTTTGTACTTTACATACTACAAAGTCATTAAATAATATAAAGAATTGTATAGTTCGGCTCAATTACAAAGAACAGCATATTATATCTCTAATATTGTAGATATGAATAAATTAAAAGTTGTGACTTATTCACAAATCAGAAAGCATTTCTGAAAAGTTTTATGATAAATAAGAATGAGGGTTCTAAAATTGATCATACTTTGTATTTGTATTAAAAAATTGTTAATGGATATGTTTTATAAATGATCAAGAATTACTTATAGAAGAAATTGGTAATTCTAATTGGTTGTACTTATGCATAATTTGCTTTCTCACAATCTTTTACACTATTTCATCATTCAAAAAGGAATTCAAAGACAAGACTTGTCAATTATTTTAATTGTTGATATCAAGAACTAAAATTTATGTAAGACTATTATATACTATACATTCAATGTAAACTAAGGTCTAAGTTTAGATTAACTTTATTACAGTTACAGTGGTAGCAGCCAACAGTGAACACCTTTTATGATTAGATTAAAGGTTATTTGAGTGTTTCTATTTTCATTGGGTATTATACTTTTATGAGTAACTTCTTAAGCCTATTTCATAAGCTGCTCCTTATGTGCACACTTTTATCAATTACCAATTGTAAGGTGAATGCTTGAATTGTATGTAGAAACAAATTTTTTATAAAGTTCAACTTTTCCTGCAATATGAGTTGTTTTTATCTGAATTTTCGACACACTTATTATGTATGACCTTAATAAAAAGTTAGTCCAATACTTACTGGGGCAGGGCATTCTGCATGTTGTCTATTAATTAGCCAGTCTTCATGTAGTTTATGCAATTCTTCAATATAGGACAGAGGGACACACTGCTCCTCTGATCTTGCTCTCTTCTTTATTCTTTCATACACCACTGATGGAGTTGTTTTCAGGTAAACTGGAAAAATTTATATTTTACTTCAGTTTAGTTGTTTCAGTTTTTTATTTTACTGTTAAAAAATGTAAGTAACATTTTATTTTCAATAAAATGTCCTAATTCTTTTATTAGTATGTGACCATGATTTCTTTTCACTTGATATAGAATGTTATGCTATTATAAACAATATGTTTTATCTTATCTGATTAATCAACAGTGAGTAAACAACCTGAACATGATCAGACTTGTCTGGTGTTATCATCATGATTATGATTAACAAAATTATTTTTCTTAAATCATTCCTAAGGCTACCTACTGACCCCCTGAAAATTATTTAAATCATTTTAAATTTACCTATTACTATTTTGGCATTAGGGTATTTATGTTCTGTGATTTTGGCAGTGAGTGTAAAATTAAGTTAGTGATATATTTAATGGAAATTAAAATCTAATTAAGTAGTATGCACAGGTACCAATTATACCATCAGTATAATGAGCACCTAGTATCCATGTTTCATCTCATTATTTCTTTAATACAAATAAAGTAAGTAAACCTGAACCTAACCTTTTAATATAATAGAATTATCTAAACAAAGCTTTAAAAGTTCAAATAAACATACAAAACACACTCACCAATTAGGTCAGCATCAATGTGTATGTGGTTCATGATAAATTTGAACCACTCATCCAAAACTGCAAACTCTGCTGGATGTATGGTACCACTCCTCATCATATGCTCCACAAAACAGTGACGAGCACTGTACAAAGACCTTTCCATCAGTTTCACTGGGGTAGGGGTAGGCCTCTGATGCATCTCCAGCATAGTTAAAGACACATAAGATTGAAATGTCATTGCCCATTTAGCTGTGTCCTTGTACATTAGGTCCTGGAAAATTAAGTGAATGGATAAATATATTACAAATACAACAATAGAGTTTAATTACAATGCATGATCCATAGTTACTATCACTCTTAGGAGGATTTAATAAATATTATAAACTTACAAGAATGAGGGATTATATAGCTAACCAATGAAAATAGAAATTTCATAAAACTCACCAATAAGTTCCATCCTTTTAGGTTCCTCCATTCCTCCACAGGTTCAGTCAATAAGGTAATATCCTCAAACCGACGAAAGTGTTCCAGAAATGTTGTTTTGCCGCTACCAATATTGCCTTCGACAAACACAGTAAACGGCTTGGTATTCATCGCCATTGCGCACATTTTTAGACCCGATCGTACAGTGCAGACGGCTACAAATTCAAAATTAACCAATTTAATAGAATAATGACGAGTGATGACACGAGTCAAGCGTTACTGACGCCAATTTCCCGCCTAAATAGTACTAAAAATAAACAAATACGCGCGAACATAACCTGACAACGAAATTAGTAGATACAATTACCTTTAATTCCAACAAAAAGTCTGGACCTGAATTTTAGCATTGCTGTTAGTCATTTATTCTTAAAATTATGTATTTCTTCAAAACAGTTTTTAGAGTTTCCTCATGGAGTCGTAACATTTGAAAAATCGACGATCGATTTTTATTTTTACTAGAAATATATCCATGACAGGATGTTACATCTAGCCATTGACAATGAACCATAAACTATTCGATTCTACTGCCTCTGTCTCTCTCTGAAAGGAGTGCGAAAACAGAAAAATTAAAACCAATTCTTATAATTATTAGGTAGTACTGTCTTTCTCATAAGGAATACAGAACAATACGGGATAACGGGAGTTTCCAAGTAGTCAAAAGCAATACTTTCATCCAAATATCATAAGCGATACTTTTCTATGAAGTATGAAACGCTAAGTTACGATGTAGTAGCATTTGAGAGTCAAATAGCTTAATTATTAATTTCTTAATTAAAAATCAGTTAATAAATATCTATTGTGTAATGATCAATCGATGAATAAAACTATAGTTATTTTTCAATATTTTATTGCGTTGAAACGTCAAATTAATTTATTTCTGACCTAGGAAACTACTAAATTTCTCATATACATAATATAATTATTCAAAAATTTAGTAACTATATAGAGGGTAGACCAATACCACTTGCGTAGTTTTTTAAGTATAACGAAGCACGACCTTATAAGGACCGGAAGTAAAATGTTAAATTAATTTAAGGAACATTTTCTGAAAGTTTTTTTTATTTTTTGTAACATTTTGCAAGCTTTTATCTTGAATTGTGTGATATGTGCGGTCAAATCTACAACTTGAGTTGTGACTATAAAGCCCTGTGCTTAAATCACAAGAGTTTGAAAGACAATGACAAAGCGGGAACTATGAATTTTAATAGGACAACACTGATTGAACACTTTGGTTTGGGAATTCCAATCTCAATCAAAGTAAGACGATCACAGAGTCCGGTTGAAGACGATTAAATTTTAATGTAAAATTAGTAAATCTGGGATGCTGTATGACATAAGATAAAACTGTCAATTTGCTTAAAGACATCGACGTTCCTTTCCTAGTTCTGTTTTCTGGAGTTAAGACTATACCTTTGATGATAGTTAAACCGTAGATTATGAGTCATGTCATGCAAATAGGTATTTTTATAAGTAGTAGTTTGTAAAAGTGTTAAATAATATTAAATTAATAATTTATTAGATGTAAAACATTCGAGATGCACGCAGCCTATCAGCATGACGTCACCCGTTTATTTTTAGATTAGGCAGTTGTTTTGATACCTAACTTGCCTATCTGTTTTCACTTCGGGTCAGTTCGGGACTCGGGAGTAGATAAATAAATGTTAACAGCGAAAATTAGATACAATTTAAGTTCCGATGAAGCCTGATACATCTAATAATGCAAAAATATTTGCAGTGATTCAATTTCTTGAAAGACCCTATAGGGATCTCGCTAGATATGTTTGTGTTCCTAGTTCCTGGATAACTGAGAGATTACCAAACTGCCGAGTTGCTATATCATACCCCAGAGAAGATGTGAATGTCACAAGGAATCGCGTTAGGAACAATGAACTACCTGTTGCAATGTGGCCAGTTTTTATGGCTTTAATTAAATATGAATCTGGTAAGTAATTTATGAATTATAAGCTAAAACAAGGACAGGCTTTGTAGTCTGTAATCTCTCTAAAGTATAAGTTATGTAAGCGTCTTAGGTTTAAGCGTGTTGGGCCTTTAGCTTTAAGCTGCATAGTTTATAAATATTAAATGCTCCACAGCAATATGTTCTTAAATTTGAATTCAAATGAATGGTTCTTTTTTAGATGATTATGATGATGCAGATGCGTGGAGTGTAATGGAAGAGAAGAAAATTTCCAGCGATATCATTACTTTGGATGATGAAGATGATGATGATGGTAAAGAACATTTTGGGTAGACCATAGTGTTTATATTATTATAGTACTTACTCTGTGATTTTGGGAGTCTATGAAACATTATGAAACATTTTAGTCTGCATTGTTTATTTTTTTCTCTCCGCAGATATTTGTGAGGCATTGGTTTACAAATCTGAAAGTGATGATAATGAGGGTAAATAATTTAACATTATCTTTCAATTTAATTACTCAATAGTGATATTTTCGGTTATTAATTACTGCTGCACATTGTGCTTACAGATAACTGTAATGAGGCGGACATTTTAATTTTAAAGCCAGATAAGCCGACTGAAACAGAAGATGTTGTTAATAATGCTGGTAAGTCTAATGTGTATGGAATGCTGTGCCAAAATGTAACTTGATCATTTCAGCCTAGGCAATTATCTGATTGCACTACTTGGTACTTATGGTTTCCCATTTTCTCTGTTATGCTTCTCTATTTAATGCAACAATCAATGATAATGAAATGTAAATTTAAAATTTTTCAGTTAATCAAGAAAATGAAGATGATTTGGTTTCAATGCAGGATAAACAGTCTCAACCGCAAAATATTGATATGGCAGACAACATTGATAAAGCCCGTTAGTCTAATCTTTGTACTCATATTATTTTGTATCTTTCTTGCCAATATTATTTTCATATAATAGTATACTTTTCAGAAAATCAAGATGGTGCAGAGACTTTGGTTGAGACATTCAAAACTGAAAATAAAGACCTACAAGATGATGGTAAATATTTAACAGAATTCAAATATTTTAATTGATTTTTCTTACAACTTGTGTAGTCAATTTGTTTACTTTTCAGAAGATCAAAATGAGGCAGAAATTATGAATTTAAAAGGGAATGAATCTTTAAAATCAGAAAATGTAGACATACAAGATAATAATGCTGGTAAATATTTAATATTTTAATTTTAATAGCTAGAATTTTTACTATTATTTCTACAATCAACTCAGTGCTTTAGTATATATATACTCATAATATGTTTTCATTTCAGAAGATGAAGATGACATAGAAACCTTTATTATAAAAGAAGATCCATATGAACAGGAGTCAATGAAATCTGAAGATATTGGCACAATACATCCTTTTGAGGGAGTTGGTAAGTTTTTTAACTATTTTAACTATCACAGAGCATCTCAATTAAGTGATTATTCCCTTTTTAGAAAATAATGATGCGGACAGTGAGTCATCAGAGAATATACCACGCAAATCAGAAAGCATTGATATAGAAGAACATTTTGGTAATATTGGTAAGTTTTAAATAGTAATAAATACTACTTTAAGTTTGTCCTAAATAAATAAAAAAAATACTTATTTAATGGTTGAAACATTAAAACTTTATTGTTTGTATAACATAATTAATGACAAACATACATAATTCTTAAAATTAAGCACATGGTTACATTAAAATAACGTGGCGTCGAGTCGCGGAGGAATGTAGGTACATGTCGCCCGTACGCGACGAGGGTTGGGGCTCTCTCTCTCTCGCCGCCGCTCGCGCCACCTCGGCCTGCGTTGGCGCGCGGGGTGTGCGGGCGGCGGAGGAGGGCCGCGCATGCGTGTTACTGTAATAGGTAGCGCTGCGGCGCGTTGCAGCCACAGTGTAGCGAAGCCACAGCCTAACCAAATAAAATCCCGCGCTACATCCTCCCCCTCTAGCCTAACTAAGTGTCCCCACAGTTGGGCTAGTCTAAATACCTACGCGGTCTGCCGCGCTTGCGTTTTTCGCGAATGGGAGGTTTTACTTGACCCGTGAAAGGTGTGAGGTGCGAAACGTGATATTTTCCTACGTTCGTTCCACGTTGTACGTTCTCCAGACCGTAAGTGGTCGGGCTGATGACCTTCCCTATCTTGTACGGGCCGTCACGACGTGGGATGAGCTTCGCGGTCTGGCCGCGGTCTGTGTCGTTAGGCCCCTGCGTCTTCAACAAGACCAAGTCACCTACCTTATACTCAGGCGGCAGCCTTCTCTTCTGGTCAGCTGTCGGCGCATCATGCAAGTCGACCATAACTTGCCTGCGTTCGTGTTCAGGAACAACTAGGCGACAGTCCTCTCCATCATCGGACTCCAAGCTGTACATGTATAGGATACCGTCAGATATGGTGTATCCACGATCAAACCAAGGCCTCCCCCTAGAGGGTTCGTCGGACTCCATGTCCTCAATAATCTTGCGAACCTCTGGGTCTAACAGCTGATTGCTGCGGATATCACCACTGTTCCCTTTCGGTATGTCAATAACCGTCATACATAGGTCACAGTCGTTCTGCTCGTCAGGACAAACTGGTCGCGACAACTCACTTGAAGGTGTAGTGTGCAATAGGCCTGTATCAGCTGAGTCGAGAGTATACGTGTAAACAAAATCATACGGCTGTCCCGGACTGTCCGAGAACGACCATGTGCGGCGGGCGACGTCTATTACCATGCCGGCCCGCGTTAAAAAATCTATACCTAAAAGCGTCCTAATATCACTTCCAGGTAATACTAAGAACTGGCACGTTACCCTACGACCTTTAATACTAACCTCTACCTCGGCTGATAACAGGTCCCTCCACCCTTGCGATCCGTCAGCCAGGCGCACGAAACGTTTCGTCTCGGTAAAGTGGACTCCTGAGTCTACTAGAACTCGGTGTAAGAGGGGGCTCGCGATGCTATGCGTGGCGCCGGTATCTATTATCGCCACGCCGCCACGGCCCGCGACACTAATATTTACCATCGGGTGATTGTCGCGCGTACTAATATTCGTAATATTAACGCACTGTTATAGGCTCCCATCCTTCGCCTATTTGCTGACTAAGTCCTGACTCAGTCCTGACTCAGTCCTAACTCCACTCCCCTCTCCTTCCAAGCTATCTCCTGACACACAACCTCCCTTCAGTCTACATCCATATCCCAATCCAGACGGTTGTCTTATAAAAATTCAATTTTCGTTTTATTTTCTAGTTAAATATAAATTGTATTTTTTAAAAAGACTTTTTACAAAGTCCATATAACATTAATGGTGGCAGCGGTGGGATTCTAAAAATCCCGGTATCGCCTCCTTCCAGTCGACGCGAGTGCAAAAGTTAAGTGCCGTGACATATTCATACAAGTGTCCGAAATAAAAAGTGAATTGCAGTGTCAATATCCTCCTTAAAAAAAATTCAGTACCTCTCGACACTTAATTACTCGGTATAGTGCCGCATCTAAGTCCGCTAACCACATCTAGTAAAATAACTATAACAACACACCAAGGCCAACCTCTACAAACCGTTGGTTGGTTGTTCACCAGTTCCTGACGTCTTACATTCATCATCAACCATACTCCGGTGTTGTGACCAACACCAATCACCCGAAGATCATCGAGCGGCAGCAACGTTATCTGCGTCGCGCGAATTCTAAGAAATGCTTGCCTTCGTTATCACTCTGTCCGTATTCAAGTAAGTGATTCTTGGTCATTGCGATTCTCAAACTTTTATATTAGTGTATAATAGTGTACAAATTTCGGTTTTATTACATTATTTATAAATATTACGTGCTAAAATGTCAGAAAGTAGATCACAAAGTCCAAAATTTGAGAAACCAGAAATAGCAATATCAGATATGGAAGATGATAACCTTTGTCCTCCACCTCCTGGCCCGACTACGAGGTCATTGTCAAAAAAGAAAAACACAGTCGCAACCAAAGTTGAGCTTGATACTAATACATTATTAAAATTTATTAAACCATTTGACGGAAGCCGAGAAACGTTAAACTCATTTCTAGTAAACTGCAATAATGCTCATGAACTAGCCTCAGAATCCCAAAAAGACATATTATTTAAATACACCTTATGTCAACTACAAGGTAAAGCCCAAACTGCCTGCGCTGTAAAAGAATTTGTCAATTGGGCTCAACTTAAAGAATTTCTAAAAACACAGTTTAGTGAGCGCAAACATTATACTCATCTGCTTACTAACCTTCAGGACTCTAAACAATTAGTTGGCGAATCTGTAAGCAATTATGCCTTGAAAATAGAAACCTTATTATCCCAACTCCTTACCGAAGTCTCCATTACACACGGTCATAAGAGCCGTGAAATGATCGGGCGTACGGCGGCCATGGAAGAATTGGCTCTCCATCATTTCCAAATGGGATTGGCACCCAGTATATCCAATATTATTAGATGTAAGAATCCTAAAAGTCTTAACGAAGCCATCAACATGGCTATTTCTGAAGAAAAAGTACAACAATTCTTGGCTAAACAAAACCCTTCTAATTCGCGTCGGGACACCCCTAACTACGTAAAACCAAGTTCTCAATCTATGCGCCGTAACGATCAATCTAGGTCAAATCAGCCCAACAACTCGACTGCAATATTTTGCAGATATTGTAAGAAACCAGGACATACCCTGGAACAATGTCGTAAACGCGAATATAATAACAATCGCTTTAAGATAGACCAAAATCAGTCAAAGGACACTCGACGTGTCCATTATACTAACACCCCCGAAGATGTAGACGACACAATTGAAGGCCACGACACCGTCGATCTTGAATCAAAAAACGAGTTCGAGTCTCGTCCCGGTGTCGAACGGGACTAAGTACAATAAAAAACGACACCCAAACACTTATTTCTAAGTCCAAAATCCCTCCGCTACACGGAGATCATCCTACTAGATCATTTACAATCTCGCGATCACCGCTACATGGTGACTCGCACAAATCCACTGTATCCAAATCCAGGATATCTCCACAACATGGAGATTATTCTATACAAACTCCTACAACTTCGCAATTACCGTTACATGGTGCATTGCCGAAATCCATGGTATCCATGCAAAACAAAGTCCTGCTTAAATCTAATGTATTCGAGATATCAAGTAATCCTACGATGAGACTATCACCTCACGTTCTTGTTGAATCTTCTGTATCAGAAATCCCTTTGTCACTGCTGGTAGACTCAGGATCCTCCATAAGCCTGTTGAAACAATCATCTATCAAGAAGCAACCAAAGCTAATCAACGAAAAAATTCAGCTAAAAGGTATAGACCTGGCTGAAGACTGTATAAAAAGTCAAGGTCATTTCAAACTCCAAATAAAATTACCTAAATCCAGTGTATCACACCAATTCCACGTAATTGAGCGAATTAACCTGCCTTATGATGGTATTATAGGCTCAGACTTTCTAAATGCCCACAACTGTAATATTAATTACACAAAAAACTTACTTCAAATTGGCGGTTTGTCCTTAAAACTTCATTTCCATGATCCTACATATTTAGTTCCACCGAGGACTGAGACCGTTATAGAATGCTCGGTCCAAAACCCCGAAATTAAAGAAGGTGTAATTCTTGACCAGAAAATTTCTAAAACACTTCTAGTTGCCAATTGTGTAGTACGAGTGAAAGCAAATAACAGAATAAATGTTACAGTTGCAAATACATCAGAAGAGCCCATAAGATTGAGGTCAGATCTTAACCTAAAAATGATTCCTATTAATCCAGTACAATTCGAAGAGCAAGGTATTAAACTAGTTAATCATACTCATACAAAGACCGACTGTGTGTCACGCACAAACGAAGTCCTCGATTCACTACGTGTGTCCCATCTTAATAACGAAGAAAGAGAAGCCCTTTTTTCGCTTTGCTCTGAATTTTCTGACATATTTCATCTTCCCGGAGAAGATTTAACCTTCACAAATGCCCTAAAACATGAAATAAAAACGACATCCGATGCGCCAATACACACTAAAACTTACCGTTTCCCCGAGGTCCACAAGGCCGAAGTCCGGAGCCAAATAAACAAAATGCTGCAACAAAATATTATAGAGCCCTCCAACTCTCCTTGGTCGTCACCAATATGGGTAGTACCAAAAAACTCGATGCATCCAATATCCAGAAATGGAGAGTAGTGATCGATTACAGGAAGTTAAATGATGTAACTATTGGTGACACCTATCCCCTACCTCAGATCTCAGAAATCCTGGATCAGTTGGGAAATAGTAAATATTTCTCAACCCTTGACTTGGCGTCCGGGTTCCACCAAATCCTTCTAAACGACGCCGACAAGCCTAAGACAGCATTTAATGTTCCCGAGGGCCACTTCCAATTTCTCAGGATGCCATTCGGGCTCAAAAATGCCCCTTCAACCTTCCAACGGTTGATGAATTCTGCTCTGACAGGTCTGCAAGGCACCCGGTGCTTTGTTTACCTCGATGACATAGTCTGTTATGCCCACGACTTATCAACACATATACTTAATCTGCGATCAATTTTTGACAGAATCCGCGA